AAAATTTGTTTAATTATCTTTTTTTCATAAGCGAGTTTAGTCAAAACTAAACCATTTTTGAAATAATAAATAAATATTTTGGTTTTAAAATTCAACTAGTAATATTTTTATGCATTGTAGGGATAGTATTAAATTAGATTAATAATTTTTAAAGAAATAAAAAAAAATTATTATTTAAAATAAAATTAAAAATAAATTATACAAAAATCGATACGATAAAATAAAAAGTAAATACATAAGATAGAAAGACTTTTTGACATGATAAAAAAAAATTCCTTAAAATATTTTAATTTAAGAATATTTTTAAAAATATTTATGTTTAAAAATAGTACTCATAATTTATACATAAACAGTAATTTACATAAATGGTTTAGAATGTCGGAAATGATTTGGTTTTATAAAAAAAGAAGTATGTTTCTTGTACATTGCAAAAAATTTTAATTATAATAAAATTTAAAATCATTTTATGCATATTCTTAAATTATTAAATTTTATAAATTTTTAAAATATATATTTTAATTATTAAAAATATATATTTTATTATATTAAATTAGTAAATTAAATAGGTAAAAAAAATTAATTAAAAAAATTAAATTTTTAATTAAAATTGAATTAGAAAAAGAAAAGAAAATACTCTAATTTAAGAATTATAAAGGTGAATTGTTGTTCGCAATCTAACACTAGCAAGTGCACTATGATTGCAGCAAGTAATGAGTAAAATTAAGATTCAAATGTCGTCTCCACAAGGAATTTAGGTTTCAAATACCACTTCATAGAATTATAACTATTTGAGCTTTTTCGAAATTGGAAGGAGAGTAGTATCATGTAATAACAGCAAACCAAAACAATTAAAAGTAAAAGCAACTTGCAGAAACAGAACAATGAATAAACAATTATGTGATAACAGAGGGAGAGACCATAGCTAGGGAATTGCTTCACCAAAACTCCAACGTTTAATAAATAAAGTTTTGAATTAACAAGCAATTGGAAAGAATGACAATCAGTTTCACGTTATATTATTCAGAGTTTAATTCCTTAACTCAGTGAACCTAACATTCAATTAAACCATTCTAATTCCTTAGATATGATTCAATTCAATATTGCTTTAAGTGTAAGAAACCAGAAGATTGCAAGATTAAAGCCTCTTATCCCTAAGAAAACTATAATCTCGGTGATTGGTTCAGATTTGAAGAACAAATTCAATTTTCATTGACAAGAGTTCCTCTGAATTTAGTTAATCAAATTTCCATTCAATTTCCACGTGAAATGCAAAATCAATCACTCAATCTATTCCAAAGCTTGAAATTCATATCCAAAATCAATTCAATGTGTTTGTTTCAGATCTACAATCCCTAACTATGAAGAAATTATACAACCATGACAGCAGAGAAAGAAAAAGAAAGAGAAGAAGAGAAGAAGAAACTCAGAAACGCCATGGAAGCTTGCTCCACTCCAATTCCTCTTCATGAAGCTCCAAGATTCGAATCTCCACTCCTCTCTCTCACTTCCTCTAACGAGAATCTAACTAACAAAACTGAAAATGAACAGAATCTCCTAAAATCTGAGCGTTTCTGGTATTTATAGAAATTCTCAGATTTGCACGTTATCACTTTAATGAGAAATAGTAGCTACGCAGAAGGTTTATGGTTGCGCGTTAACACTTTTATGAGAAAAAGTGGCCACACGCAACTTTCCTGATATTGAGAGTTCTCTAGAACAATCACTCTTGCTGATAAAAGTGTCAACGCAGAGCCCAAATAGTTGCGCGTGATCACTCTTATGAATAAAAAGTGACTACGCGCAACTTGCCAAGTTGAAGGCTCTCTGGAACGATCACTTTTGACGACAATAGTGGTTAGCAGAGCTTTCCTGATATTTTGCCTCTTTGGAACGCTCACTTTTACTGATAAAAGTGATAACGCCCAGGCTGTTGAGTCTGAGACTTCACAGGATCTCTCACTTTTCCTAGCAGAAGTGGTAACGCCCAAGCTTTCTTCTTCTTTGAACTCTGGAGTTATCACTTTAACTGACAATAGTGATCACGCCCAGTCTGCACTTTCTTGGTCTTGTAATTTTGGAGTCCAGACTTGCTTCTTTCCTCTTCCTTGTCATTAAGCCTCCATTTTCATGATCCTTGCTCAATTTATTCCTTAAAAAACAAGATTAAAAACTCAATTTCTAAGCAAATTTCCACAATTGCTAAAATAACTACATATTTAAACAAACTTCAATTCCTTCTCTTTTTCTAAGTTTTTCTGCTTTCTTCATATATTTTTCTTATCAAATGTGTTAGAATTATACTAGAATATCAGTCAAAATATGGATTCATCATGAATAAAATTTTATTCCCCTAAAAGATTAGTCATTGCACTATTCCTTATCAGGGCTAAAGAATTATAAATTATTTAACCAAAAAAGTATTTTAATTTTTCAAATTTTATTAAAATTAAGTAAAACATACTTTTTTTTACTTTTATTTTATGTAATAATAAATAAAAGATAAAAACAAATACATTTTTAAATTATTAAAACAAAAATTAAAATTCATCTTCGTAATGAAGAAAATAATTCAAAATCATTTTTGATTAAAATGTTAGATTTAAAACCAGTTTTGATTAAAAGAACATATTTAAAATCGAGTTTTGCTAAAAGTTAAAATTTTATAGCTAGTTTTGGCTAAAAATTTAATTTACTACTAATTTTGAATAAATATTCAATTTATTAGTAAAATCATAATTAAAAAATTTGTTTCAAAAGAATAAAATTATATTAATTTGTATAATTAGTTTCTAAAATGAAGTTGGTTTGATTTATGCACAATTACATCTTTATATTTTGGTTTATACATGCTTTTAGTTCCTCTATTTTAATTATTCACGTTCAGTCATTATATTTTTTTTTAAATTGTTCAAATTAAATCTCTTATTCAAAAATTTCATCCAATAATTAGTAAAAATATAATGAAGCCCAAATCAGGGCAAATTTATTTTAATATTGTAAATAAAAAATAATTTATTGATTTATAGGTAATTTCAAACAATTTCCCTATCTGTGGTTTTTTTGCCACGTGGAGCTAATTTTCACCATAACGACTGGCGAAATAAATTTATTTTTTAATTTTTTTTATATTTATTTAGCCACAAAAAAGATGAAATAAGTAAGATCGCACCACATGTCAAACATAGGTTAGTTTCGCAACCTAATTGGCAAAGTAACCACCAAATTTTGCCACAGCCAGAGCGTAACTAATCATATATTGACATGTGGCTATACAGGACCATTGTTTCGCCACCAGAATAACGAAAGTTGCTAAAATTAAAAATAATTGATAAAAATAAAATATAAATGGACGGCTGGGGTGATTTTATACACGTGGGGACATCCCAACAGTTTCGCTCTACTCTTGGCGAAAGTCACTTTCGCCCTGCCTTTGGCGAAAGCAATCAGAATATGACATGTGGCTGGCCAAACAGTGAGCAGTCCGGTATTCTTCCTCTTCTCCTCCGTTTTGCACTTTCATTTTTCCTTCTTTCGTGCTTCAGCGTCGTTCACGATTCTTCTTTCCCAAATTTGGCTAAAATCTAGTTTGATTTGCATTGTGAAAGGCATTTGTACGAGTTTAAGAGGTATAGTAATATGCATATTTATATATTATTGTTAATTTAATTTGTTAATTGAAAAATCTGATAAATGGCAACAAATTAAATTTTTAAAATTTTTTAATTGTATGCAGGTGATTGATTGATTGATTCGATGGAAGTGAGTGAAAAATAATTTAGTTGAAGGTTTATTAAGGTTAGTAAAAAAAGATTTAAATTTTAAATAGTTTTTTATTTATTTGTATATAGATTAATATGTTTTTGGAAAAATAAATTGTAATATAGTTGATTAAATGTAAAATTATAATAAACTGTTAAAAAGATAGGTTAAATTTAAATTAATTTAAATTGTTTGCATAAATTGTTATATGTATTTGAAAAAAACAGAATAATAGAAAAGTAAATAAATAAAATAATTATATAAAACTAAATATAAAAATTTATATTTATTTTTATTGTAATAAATAATTTTTACACCTATATAGTAAATTAAGTAGAATTTTGAATTTGTAAATTTTGAAATGCAGTAATAATAATGTAAAATGTTATGACACGTGGCCATAAAATATTAAAATGCAGTAATAATGTAAAATAATTAAGTATAAAATTTGTATGTAAATAATTATATATTTATTTTAAAAAATGTAACATTAATAATTGTTATGGAACTATAAAAATAGGTAGTATTTTAAATTTCAAATGGAGCTTCAGTAAACATTTATTTTTTGTGTTTTAATCTCCCCCTATTGAATTTGGCTTCAAATAGATTTACAGATACATTTTTACCAGAATATGGAGAACTTACCGGCAGGAATTGGTTCTTTTGAAAACAGCTTTTAATTGATATTCCAAAATCAAATATTAGGTGCAAGAATCTTAAAATAAAATTATAAGTATGCAATTTATGTAGATTTAAATTGGAAATATGAAAAAAATAAAAATTTAATTTAATAAAATGCTAATAATTAGAGTTTTGTATTTAAATAGTGTAACATGATTATATAAATTTTATTAAATACATTTTAAAATGAAAAAAATTACAATAGGTAAAAATTTATATATAATATGTATGAAAATGTAAATAAGAATTTATTTATTTAAAATAATATTGATACTGCATAAATTATAATTTGTATAGAATATAGGCCAGTAATTTAGTTATTTATTTTGTAAAAAAAAATTAATTATGATTTAATTGATGAGATTATACATGATTTTCGCATTTATAATATATTGCAATTTTGTATATTTAAGTCATTACAATGTGATAATGATTTGTTAGTAAATTTGTTTAACTATAATAAAATATGTATTATTAATTATGTTAGTAAAATATAAATTATTATTATTATTATTATTATTGAATGAAATTATTTGAGTAATCTTTTTTTTGTTGTATAGATGGCATCATCTTCACAACAAAGTAGGGTTATTAATCTCGGACCAGAAGATTCATCACTTCTTCGGTTTCAGAGTATCCATGTTTCTGAATATATTTGGGATGAACGTGATCATCCGATATTGAGGGTTAGGAAGAGTCAAAATATTTCTGGTGGATTAGAGGGTGTTCCCGAAGAAATTATTCCACATCTGGAGTTAGCAGGTTTTGTTGGAGTGGCTAACTTGTCTCAGCTTCCAGTAGACATGGGATTGATTACTGCATTAGTAGAGAGGTGGAGGGCCGAGACACACACATTTCACATGCCTCCTAGAGAGTGTACTATTACCCTTCAGGATGTTGCTATTTTCTTAGGTTTACGCGTAGATGGGAGACTTGTTATAGCACCCACTGGAGGTGATTGGGCGTAAATTGTTGAAGACAGCCTAGGTATCAGACCAGGATCACATGCTTTTGTAACGAGTTTTTTGAAGATGAGCTGGTTGGACGAGCACTTCAGTCATATTGCCATGCATAATCAGACTCCACTACAGATTACTCGGTTCGCTAGGGCATATATATTGAGGCTTATTGGAGGGTTCATGCTTCCTGACCACTCTAATAGTAGGGTATCTGTGAAGTACTTGCCATTGCTTGAAGATTTTGAGCTGACCGGTGAATATAGTTGGGGTTCTGCAGTTCTAGGTTATTTGTACTGAGAGCTATGCATGGCCACTAACATTGATCGTGTTGCTATAGGAGGACTTGCTGCGTTGATTGTGATTTGGGCTTGGGATAGATTTTCCCAGATTGCGCCTACCAATCCTTCCTATACACATCCCTATCTTCCTTACGGTGTTAAGTAAGTTGTTATTGTGACTGTTTTTGTATGCATTTGTAGGTTTTCTATTAATGTAATTTGTTTGACCTCATGATCTATTGTCAAAATTACTTGCAGATGGTTATCCCATGGTATCAGAAAGGGAAAGAAAGATGTTTAATACTACATATTTATTTTTGATCGTCTAACACGTGATGAGGTATTATAGGCAACTTTTATACTAAATTTACTCCTTGTGTGGGTGCCATATAATATGGAACTCATCAATATTTTACCACCTATTTGTAGAGATGGTATGGATTTATGGAGGGCAGTGGTGCCACTTATATGTTTTCAAGTATGTGAGTGGCACCAACCTAATAGAGTAATGCGTCAGTTTGGTATGGTTCAGCACATACCAAGGGCTCCTTACCAGCCTGACTAGCTATATGACCTAACCCTTAGAGGGAAGACTAGAGAAGATTGGTTAGCGAAGTTCAGTGCTATGTTACAAATTTTGGACAGTAGACGACTTTGGGTGATGACTAATGAGCTTCAGTATGGTTTACTGAGCTCAAATTCAGAGTACATGCGGTGGTATGTTAGTCACACTCGTCGTTGGATAACCAGGGATGCAGCATTATCAGCTTTATCGGTATGTTGATAGAGTATTATATAATTTGTTTACTATTAGTATTTTTTATATTTACAAAATTACACTACTTATTACATTTTGTTATTTTTAGGGTGATGTGATGGAGAGATTGCATTACTTGAGTACTGATGGACAGGATTGTTTTACCTTTAATGAATTAAAGGACTTGTCTAAGACTCTCCTGTCACTGAAGAAGGAGCAGGATCGCATATTAGAGCCTGTTTCATCTTCAGATTCTCTAGTACAAAGTGGTAATCCCGTCGATCCAGACTTACACATAAACCAGTCGCGTCAATGAAGAGAAGGAAGAGGTTTGGCACGTCGACGAAGACAAGTGCAGGCAACAGAGTGGGCTATCCCGACTATGCCAGAGCAACCTGATGGTGTCTTCCCTATACCATCACAGTTCCCTTTTCAGGCATCTCATTTGATTACTGCCCCGACTTATTTCTATTCATCACAGGGTACCCATCATCCATCACAACCCCCATCTTCACCATTTATAGGATCAAAAGATTATAGCCCACGACCTGATTTCTTTTTCACACCTCCTCACGAGCACCATTCCCTTTTGACTCCAAGTGCCCCATACATACAAGATGAGCCTGTACCATCAGACATGCATCCTATAGAGTCTGGTATTGATCTTAATGCCGAGTTTGGTGCGGTTGCTGATTTAGGAGAGGTTCGTCAGAACCCTCATCGAGGAGCTCGAGATAGACAGAGGCAATGCATCTTGACTCTAGAGGATCATGATCATCAGGCACATAGGGGAGGACAACAATGACACTTTTATGTGTAGTATTTTATTTTAGATCACATATGTATTGTTCATGACTTGTATGCTTTTTCTGGTTATTAATTTGAAAACAACCTTTGTCTTGATCATGAGTATTATGCTTTCTTTACAATAATTAATGACAATTAGGATAAATAACAATATCATTTAACAAATACATAAATTATGCATTAAAGAAAACAAAATATTACAAACCCTAACTTGTATGAAATGGTTAACCAACATTGTTTTGTTGAGGACAGTGGCATCTATTATGACCTACTTCGTTGCATTTAGAACACCTTTGTCTAGTTTGTGACTCAACCCAATCCATTTCATTCCTAATACGAGTTGACTTTGGTCGGCCTTTACCTCTTGCTTTGTCAACATCAGGTACTAACTTCCATTCAATATTTGTAAGGATGTTGCATTCATTTCCAAGGGGGAACCACTGTGGGGAGTATGTATTTACAACATATTACATTGAATAAACTAGGTCCACATATTGCCAAAAATCAATACTCACATCTATATAGGCTGCTATCACATGCGAACAAGGATATCGATAAGACTGAAATCTTCCACATTCGCAGAATCTCCTATCTAATATAATTGTCCATTTGTGTCCACCCCTTTGTGTTATTGGATTAAAAGCTTCTTCAACCTCAAAACTTTTTCTCTGTATGTCATATCGATGAACTTGGTGTGATGAAGCTTCTTATTGATTTTTTTGAATTTGCAACGTCACTTTACGACAAAACATGCTTCCATTGTGAAGGTCAGAGATGGCCTCTTCTCCACGCTTCACAAAATATTCAACCAATCGTCCATAGGTGGCTTTAACTAGGGCATTTATGGGTAGGTTTCTAGCACCTTTCAACACCTTATTTACTGATTCTGAAAGATTTGTGGTCATGTGTCCATAACGTCATCCTTCATCATCATAACATAATGCCCATTTCTCCTTTGCTATGCAGTCAATCCACTGTATATCTTGAGATTCATTGCGAAATCTAGTTAACTTTTGCTGAAATATGACCTTCGATGGTGTATAACTTTCATATACAATATTCAAAACATTAAAAGATAGATATATGGATTCAATGCCTATCTAATATTTTAACAATAATCTACATAAAAAGTCCAATACATACCCAATTTGATGAGCTCTTTCTTCAATGCTATATTTTTAAACTGGTGATTAAAGTTGCTGGGAATATGATGAATGCAATATACATGATACGCATTTGGAGGTTGCTAGCCAATGTGTGGATTTGACATAGCTCCTTTTATACTTTGATGTCTATCTGATATCAAACAAATTTCTGATCTATCGGTAACATGCAAACGAATCAATGCCAAAAACCATTCCCATGCTGACAAGGTTTCTCCTTCAACAATTGCAAAAGCTATTGGAATGACACAATTGTTTCCATCTTGAGTTGTTGCAATGAGCAATGTATGACGATACTTACCATATAAGAACATCCCATCCACTTGTAATATAGGTTTGCAGGATTGAAAAGCCTCATGACATTGTTCGAATGACCAGAATAATCGTTCAAATACTCTACACCTGTTATCCACTTGATGACCAACCATATACTTTTCTCTTTCAATTTTATAAACAGATCCAGGAGAATGTAGTTGCATGTATTCTAACCATCGAGGCAAGGTAGCATATGATTCATCCCAATCACCAAATACTTTAACAATGGCTTTTTGCTTCACCTTCCAAGCTTTTTTATATGAAATTTCGTATCCAAACTGAGCACATATTCGCTCTTGTATCAATGAAATATGTACCGATGGCTCTTCGTTTACCATTCCTACATAAAAGAAATTTTCTCAAGTTAATAAGAATGTCATTGTAAAAAGGAAAAAACAAATGACATGTCTTACCAAGAATGCATGAACAAATTAAATCGAAATCCAACTTTTGATGATCTTGAGAAATTCTCATATTGACACATGTATGTGAGTCAGCCCACCTAGTAATTTTTCACTTGTTTGAATTCTTCAACAATGAAGCCCTCACTCTCCATGGACAACCAGAGGTATGGTTTAAGCATTTAGCGTACAAACATGTTGGTTTAGACTCAGTCACAAAATAACTTTGATGAATCTTCATTGCATAATGTTTTAACGCATTTTTCACATCTTCTTTACTATCAAATAATAAGCCAACAAATAAAGGATCTCCTTCAACCCATGAATTGATTTCTTGAAGATGTTCTTCATTCATTTCTTGATCAGGATATTCCCAATTAATATACTTATACTTTGGAGTAACATTCCAAAAAGGAATTACAGTATCTCATGCATTATATTTAGCATGAATATATAAATATATAACTACAAAAAAACACCTTATATTTAGCATGAATATATAAATATATAACTACAAATTTTTTTTTAATAATTATTCCACATTACCTGCTACATTTTCAACTACTTGTATATTTAAGTTGGAATGAAACTCGCCTTCAACATCTGGAGAAGAAGAACTGCCTAATGAAATTTCTGCTGCTTCATCATCTCTATCAGTGTAACTCTCATAATCTGAGTTTTCATTATCCTTATCAACATCATTCCTAACTCTTTTATTACAACAAATTTATCAGTTATAATTCAATCAATTACATATATTACTTTAAAGATATTACAATATAAATAATTTTACCTTCATTATAATCACAACTCACAAGGGTCCTATCATTTTGCTATGAAAGTGATAAATTTAAATTCATCGTCTGTAAAGGCACTGATGAACTTCCACCAACAGCAATATCTATATATAACTCAATAATATTTCTACTTGATTGTTGTTGAAATGCACTTATCATGCAATCAGTATCTTCATCATCACATATATTCAAAGTTGTATACTATCTAATATTTCCATCAATCAAAAAATGAGAAATTAATTTAGAAATAACTTGATTATGGTTAAGATTAAGTTTCAAATGAAATTTTTTTTCAATGTTTCATAACTTATTTCTTATTTTATCTGGATCACTTTCTTATTTCCTTCAAAACTCACTCATTCATTTCCTTCATAGATTCTACCATTCCAATATATAATAATAAGAATTCCACTTATCTTGCATTTTAAAAAATAAACTTTATTTAATATTTACATTTTACAATAATTAACATAAATAAAAAAAACACTACT